TATATATATATATATATATATATGAAGAGTTCAATTGGTGTTTAAAATTACACAGGGGACATAAAATTCGCGGGGCTGCTTTAACACCTGGCTTGCTTTTAGGATTAGTGGTTTTCTTTTTTATATCCGTCTCCCGCTCATAGAAAGAGCCCCTGCAGACCAAGATTTCTTTTCTTAGATCCAAGGCAAAAAGGTTAATAATAGAATAGTCATTAATAATAGCATAGTCATTAATAAAGGTTAATAATAGCTATTCACGACCCAACAAAACTACAAATTTCTAAACGCATGCATAGAGAGTTAGAAGTTTGGAAATGCATTGGACTTTAATATCATTAAAAATTTTCACCACCTGATAACGTTGCAAGACAGAACAATATTTTGAAGCAAAATAATAATTTTGAAATAAATACATAGTTTTTTTTTCAATTTAACACTTTATTTCGGCTTATAGCGGCAAATATGCACCAGATGTCAAAGTGTCGCTGTAATGATTAAAGGTTGAGCCATTTTTTCCTAAAAAAACACATTAAAGTATACTACTAGAAGTTAAAAGTGCAAAAAATTAGAAGTTGTTTGATGATGGTGTTAAAAAAATACACTAAAAACAACCCTTATTAGGTAACGTATTCCAGTTATTTTTTATTAAAAAGGAAAGATGGTGGCTTATAACTTACAAACTTTGATCGTGTGATTTTATAAAGCAAGAGAGAAAAAAAAATATTTTTCTAAAAATATTGCCTGAAGCTTAAATTAATATTTTTAATAAAGTGGTTCGGGAATTATGAAGAAAGTTTTTGAATTTGAGTACACAATCTCTTTTCAAAACACCTTGAAGCAAATTGCGTGCTTCCTCTTTCATTTAACAGTGTTTAATTTCGAAAAACCTATCATCTAATTAAAATGTTGATATCAGTAAACGTATCAAAATTAATTAAATTTCGGCTTATTTTTTTAAATTAAAAAATAATCTAGAGTGTTTAGATTTGAATAGCATTTTTCATGATTTTCATTAGATATTTTTCTAAGCGTGATTTCAATTACTTTCTCCAACATATTTATACAACAAAGCAATTAAATACAGCATAACAATTTGTATTTTATTTAAAACAGAAAAAGTATTTTCTTAAGGTCTATAATATACTTTTTAACAATAAAAAAATTGAAAATATGTGTTCCATTCGAAGGATAAGACTTAGACTTCTCACAACTACTATATGAAAGTCTTTATTTTGAACTAAACAGTTAAATAATTTTAAAAAAATATTTTACTCATTGAGTATGAACCTTTTCACTTAACAAAGACTTAAAAAAAGCTTAGTTTAAATTATATTTTTCTGACAGTGTAGCCAAATCTTTTTTAATGAACATAAGAAACAATGTTATATAAATGGTAATGTTTCAAGTCTAAACAATTAACAAACTTAACTATGCTTTTCAAAGGGTGTATAACTTTTTTAAATAAAACAAGTACCAAAGATCTAGTCACATTTTTTCTTAAAACCATTTTATGACTAGTTGTAATTTGATTATAAATAACCAAAACTAACTAAAAATATGTGATTTACTTGAAAAGTGTGAAACTACTTGGAAAACTAAACTCTATTTAAATAATTTTTCTGCCAGATTTGGCCATTATTTGGAAAAAAATCAGTTCAAATCGCAATCCCGATTACACGTCTAGTTTATAAAATGACCTCCGTTAAATTTATGGGAGGTGGGAGTAAGAATCACCTAACGCAACACGTGGTTTCTTATAACTGCTATATAGTGTAGAAATAATTTTAAGGATTTTTAAAATTTTGCTGGAAATTTTCCTTTCTCGACTCTCGAGCGCCGTTGAATAAGGAAGTGATTTCTTCAAGGGTAATGGTCACGTGGTCAATGACAGCAACGTAGAGAACAGCAAAGGCCATGTTGCTATTGGCTGAACCATGCACTATCAATAATAACACTGGATCGCTAAAATTTGAGAAATAATTTAATAATTTATACTTATTTATAAAATTAATTAATGGAAATTTATTTAATTAAAAATTTTTTCTTACCAATTTTTATAAAAAAAAAATTCCGGAATTTTATTTTCCGGAATTTTATATTATATTTTTTTAATTATTTTCTTCTTTTCCTTTTTTTATTATTCTGTAATTTTTTCCATGTTTTTCTACATATTTTAATTTAGAGTTTGAAAAAAATGAAATATTTTTAATAATTTTTGTTTTTTATTTTTATTTTGTAGACCAGGTTCCGAAATTCAAGTTGACATTCCCGGAAAAAATTCTTAGACCAGGAAGTTATGTGTCATTACTTTGCGTTGCTTCCGGCAATCCAGCACCTCAAATGAGATGGTTCTTAGACGGGATTTGGCAAGTGTCCACTCGTCCAGGAATTCTCGTGAGTACTTATTTGAGTGGCAACGGCGATGTGGTCAGTTACTTGAACTTCACTTCCGTGGATGTAGCGGATGGGGGATTGTATCATTGTGAAGCTTTCAATGAAGCTGGAAGTGTGAAGCATTCCAAAAGATTGAACGTATTTGGGCCCTTGTTCATAAGACCCTTGAGTAATCTGACAGCACTAGCAAGTTCAGTTTTTACAGTTAACTGCCCGTTTGGTGGATTTCCATTTGATAAAATTTCTTGGAAAAGAGGTAAGCAAAAGTTTAAATTTCAGGAAGAAACTACTATTCATCAATTTAAATACACTTCTTCTACTTTTTTTTATTCCATTCAAAAAAGAAAAAAAAAATAGCATTGTACGAGGGTTGTAAATTAAATAGTGGCAACTTAACCTTGAAACTCACAGAAGGGCGGGCATGTGTAAATAGGTCATGGGAACGGAGAAGTGAACCTGCTGTCGATGTGTAGAGCGCAAAAAAGAGTCGATCTGCTTAGCAGGGTAGTTGTTGCGTGGCGTTAAGGAGAGGAGTTTTGTTTTCATCGCTCTAAAGCATGTTTTCAAAAGGTGATCAGCGGTCGTCATTTAAAATCGAGGTTGCCCGTGGCAAAAGTGCAACAGAATGCTATCGAGGATTAGCGAAAGCCTGTGAGGCAAATTCTTTACCGTATTAGACAGTAGCTCGATGGGTTCAAGCATCTCGTCTTTTTCGTCACTAAGCCTTTTGAAAACGTGCTTTAGAGCGATGGAAGCGAAACTCCTCACGTTAACGCCACACAACAGCTAACCTTCTAAGCAGATCGACTTTTTTTTAAAATCTACACATCGACAACAGGTCCACTTCACCGTTCCCATATCCTATTTGCACATGCCCGCCCTTCTGTGAGTTTCAAGGTTAAGTTGCCACTATTTAATTTANTTTGCACTCTACACATCGACAACAGGTTTACTTCACCGTTCCCATATCCTATTTGCACATGCCCGCCCTTCTGTGAGTTTCAAGGTTAAGTTGCCACTATTTAATTTACAACCCTCGTATATTAATATATCGACGTTAACGGCTATGTACTACTTTAGCTTCTTACATTGCTTACATTAGTTTCTGAATCAAAAATTGTTTGTAAGAAAAGCAAAAGTATAATTTTTTTTAACGGGTTGTCCAAAAATTTTAATTGGGCGACAAACTTTTTATCACCGCGTGACATTAGACAAAATTTCCACCAGAATTTTTCATGTGTTACAATTTTTTACAGTGTGAAAATGCTAACTCATTTTTATTTTCGTATCTATTTAAAAGTATTTTCCATATATTTCTATAGTAATCACTATTTATAGCAAATCCCTTAAATAATCTCGATGCATTACCCGTAACTGAACTTTGTAAATATTGCAAGTTTTGAATACCAGTTAAAGATTTATTTGAATAACTATAGATTAAAAAAAAATATTTTAAACTCCACAACGCATCAAAATTTCCGAAAAAAGAAGGGATATAAAATTTTGGCAAATTAATATTAATATAAGTGGAATTCTCTTTTCCGATTTCATCTAACTTCAATATATCATTAATAGAATCTAAACATTTCTCAATATTTTTGATTGCTTAATCAGCAACATCTTTTGATTCAGTGATTTTTTTATATTCAGCTTGCAATCATCAAAAAGCTAATAATCATAATAAACTTTTTCAAGCTTATCGCGACATTTTAAAGTGGTATTTTGTAACGCAAATACCCTTTGTAATTTTTTTAGAATTAACAGCATTTTTAGCAAAACAACAATATCTTTTGATTTCGCTAACTTGAGTATCGAATGTAAAAGGAACATAATTTTTCCCCATCTTTGATTTATGGAAATATCTCTTAAAAAAGAATATGATTTATCTAAAAATATTGTGAATTCCAAATACCAAGAAATGGGTATATGAATTTCACAATTTAACTCAATTTACATCTTGATTCATACTTCGGATTTAGGTACAGTATTTATTTCATTCGATTCCATTGAGAAAAAATTTCAAATCTTTTAATTTCATCGAGATCTTTTAATGCCATTAAGATAAAATTAAAATTTTTTTTGAAACAGAAAAAAAAAATTCTTGGGAGAAGAATTTTATAAATTAAGGAAGCCCTGCTGCTACTTTTTTAAACTTATTTTTATTTTAAGAAGCATAAATTTAATTGGCAAATATTTTAATTTTAAATTTTTGTATTTTTGCATTTTTACTACATTTTAATGCATATTTTTCTACTTGAAAACAGTTAATTAAAAACATATTAAATCAAACTATTTGAAAACATAATCAACACAAGAAATAAGTTTAAACCGTCAGAAAAATTTCGTAAATAAGTGCTTTAGACCTATTAAGAGTTAATATTTTATGTTTAATTAAAAGAAACATTATAAGAGTTATTCAAAAGCATACTTTTGTTTATTTATTAAGGGGTTTTAATGCTAATTTAATTATTATTATCAGTTATATCAACAACAGTTTTATTTAATTTAGCCTTATTCATATGAGTGTTTTTTACGTCTAAATAATGCTCTAATTATTTCTGCAATAATATCGCAATATTGACAGAACTTGCATTTAAATAATCTCATTTGAAGTTTTCTTGTTTAAGTTCCTCCTCATATTGTTATACTAAAAAGTATTCCGTCAAAATATTTTTTTCAAAGAAAGTCTCTTAAGTCTGCATTTTTAACATTTTTCTAAACGTTTCTTACTTCCTTTTTTTTTTGGAAATGTTAGAACAAAATGCTCGTTAAAGAGATTTTTTTGCATCTTTTTCTTCGTACGTCATGTTTTTTAGAACACTAAAAAAATATTCTTTCTGGTAGAAACTCGCCTATTTAACAATAATGCTCCGAGTTAATGAAACCTAAAAAAATCCTTGGAGCTCTTTAAATAATGTTTAAAAACAAACTTAAATCTATTCCTTTCTTTTAAATAAACGACAAAAAATCTGTGTTGTAAAAACTCTTAAAAAAGACTTTAAGCTCCGGAAAACCAACCATAAAGACATTTTAAAAAAAAATAAGGATAAAGACGAATATAATAAGGGTAAAAGCAAGGTAGCACAGCATTTTTAAGTTGTGAACAAAAGGTATTTGCTCTCTGCTCTTAGCTTTTAGCATGTTATATAAAAGAAGTGTATCTTTGTAAAGACTTCGTAAAAAAAAGGCTACATTGTTTTTGTTAGTAATTGTCTTTTGTTTTGGAAATTTTACGCCCCCTCATAGGATATTAATCATTCACAAAATCTCAGCCCATCTATCAAATTTCTATAAACACTGCTTTTGGGAAACAAATAATTTGCATTAAAAATAGCTAAAAAATTATAATGTCATCCATCAAAAATGTTAGGATATTTCTTTTTCTACCGGGTATTTATCAGGCTTTGGAGTGTAATTAAAAACAATAATAATGAGGAAATTAGAATAAATCTTATTTTTTATATATTTTAGTACTTTAATTTTTTAAATAGTGGGTTTAAAATTACATTCAAGTTAAATTTATAAAATGATATTTTATTCAATAAAATATTTTTTTGTGGTGCTAAAAGTGAATAAGTTTATGAAAGTGAATAAGCTTTTAAGTGACTCAGAGATGATGTGCAGAACAATTTTAGCATAACAATGTTACTCTAGAAAATTTAAGATAAAGAATTGTTTGTAATTACAAACAATAACTTGCAAAACGATCTAATATTTAAATTAAAGATATTCAATTACTTAATAATGTATAATAGTGAAAAATCTTAAAAAATCCTTTAAATAAGCAGCAATATTTACGTAAGAAACGTTGAAATAAAAAGTGTTGATCCTAAAATAAATACAAAGTATGTCATATAAAGCAGATATAATTTACATAAAACAATCACTTTATTTTTTCAATATTTATAAATAAAAAAGAACTTAGTAATTAAAAGCATTTTTCATCAAAACGTAATCAAACTTACATTTTTGAGTAGATGAACAATTTTTAATTTTTGTATCCTTGATTGGGGTTTTAGCTGGTATAAATGTTTCCACACTAATACATTTATGTTGATGTTATATGTTACTTATATGTAACTTATATGTTAAGGCAATACATAATGAGAAACGATATACCCCATGAAATTTATTATGTTCATTTTATGAATGATTTAAAAAGAATTCTTTTAAATAATACCTTCCTTCTTTTAAAGTCATTGCATTAGTCTGAAGCTTTTAAAATATTTAAACAGAAAGTTATTTTTTAACTATCTTGATATATCATAATCTATTCGTTAGTAAAAAGAAAATGATCATTAGAGAATTTAAACATCTTGATCCATGACTTTCTAATGTCTACACTTTGGAAGGAAAAAATACTGGATGGCAACATTTTTGAAAAAGAATTCTCAAAGCACACTAGAAATGCCATAACTTCTAAAAGAAAAATGTCCGTAGCTAAAAACCTACACAATTTTTCTTGTGCTTCATGCTCATTATTTTAGACAGAAATATCTTGATAAAAATAATTTCTTAAAAAACTCTTTCTTAAGTCAAATGTGTACTAACGCTCAAAAGTTGCCTTCCGGTTCTTTATAAATTTAATGATGTTTCGGTGTTTTATTTTCTTTATAATAAAACTTGTTTAATGTCATGTTTCTGGTCTGTTTTAATATTTTCAAAGTGAGTCATTAAACATTCGAAATGATATGACTTTCTTTAAAAAAAATGCTTGAGAATATTTGAATTCAATTCTTTTAAGAAGTACTGAAATGGACTGTTTGAATTTTAAAACCACTCATTTTTAATATTTTTTTCCTATTTTCTAGTTTCTTTGCTCGGCAAATTCATTTAAGTTTATTAATTGAAAAAAAAAATTTACGGGTGATAATCATTGCGTTGTGAGTTTTTAATCTCTAACTAAACATTAATTTTTAAAGAAAAAAATATAACAACTGAAGAGGTGAATAAAAATTGAACCACAATAATCCAATTTAAAAGCATAGCTTTGATGGAGTATGTATATAAACTGTTAGAAATATCTTGGAAAAAAAGATAAATAACAATTTAATTAATTGTTTTTTTACAATATAGAAACTAAGAAGTAAAATAACTATAAATAAGCTGGTATCCAAACTACAAACTGTGAAAAAAACGTTTATTAACTGCTTTCACCTAATACGGTTAAACAACCAGAATTTAATAACACCAACTATCCCACCTAACGAAGTTGCTTAGTTCCTTGCAGCTGGGTATATATTATAGCTGAGAGGGCGAATCTGTCAATCTCATGACAGACAAAACAGGGGTTCGAGTTCCACTGCAATATTTTATCTGCTCCCTTCAATACATCACGAGTTTCCAGTGTCCGAATCTCCCCGATTAGTGACCCTATACAATTAAAATACAATACTCTCATTCAAACATAGATGGCAGCACTATAAGTTTTAACATAATAAAATCCATTATTCCCCATCTCTTAAGTTATGTGAAACAACCGGATAAACTAATTAAACAACATTAATCAGTTCATTTGATAAAATACAACCCAACCAGAACCTAACTCCAATGTCTATTATTGAACAAAAGCCCTAGCTCCTATGTCCAGTTCCATTTCTTTTTTACGGTTTTAAATCCATGCTAGTTGTAAACGGTTAGTTGCTTATTTTGTATTCATGATTTTCTAATCTTACCAGTTGTAAAAGGTTAATAAACCGTAAAGTTAAAAAAAATTCTTCTCAGTCAACTTTAGTTGGTTGGGCAGACTGCTGCCGAAGACCATAATTTTAGAATTATATATATTAATATGTATTAATTATTAGTATTAATATGTGTTTATTAATATGTACTAAATATAGTTATTGGTAATAAAATATTTATTTTTTTTTCGAATTCCGCAGAGATGTAATTCCTTGGCATGCAAAAAAAAAAAAAATGAGCAATGCACTTAAAAAACATTTTCATTAAAAGAGAATGTCAGACAAATCTCAAAGAATTCATCCTTCATTTTAATAACTGAATATCATTATTTATTCATTTTAGAAAATTTAAAAATGAGAACTTTGTCCCTATTTAACGAAAGGAATAAACCAGACAAACTATCTTAAATCACAAAATCTGAAGGCAGCATTTATTTTCAGAAGGAAGACTACTGCCAATAAATCAAAGGCAACGTGTGTACCCTAACGGTACAATGGTTATTGAAGGAGTAAGACATCGATTAGATGATGGGCGTTACAGCTGTGAGGTCACAACAGGCCAAGGAATTCCTGTTTCTCGAACATTCCGAATATCTGTCCGAAGTAGGTGACCATCTGTTCTTTATTGTCATCTTCACCTAAATAACTTTTAGTAGTACCGATATGTGTTCTCAATATGGAACTTTGCGAATCAATGCTGAACGTTTCCATTTCAACAAGTCTAAACATTTTTAGGACACAGCAATAAAAAAAATCGATAGTGGAAATAATATGTTAGGTACTAAATCTAATATTGCAGTTTTAATGAACATAAACATATAATTATAGTAATTGTAATAATTATAATGTAGTTAGTTAGATACATTGAAATCGAGTTTTTCAGAACAAGGGCAACAATTCGTTTAGCTACTACGTTATAAATATAGTACAGTTCCGTTTATCAGGAAACCGATTAACAGTATTGTCAAATTAACCGAATCATGCGTTTTCTTCTATTCTTCTTAAAAAATACGAAACAAATGCTCTTTTTCTTTGATTCCCTGTTTTGGGTCATTTTTTTTCTTCAATTTTCAGTGTCCTTTGAAAGAGCACGAAATGTTCGTAATTATGCCTTTCAACAATTTGGTGTCTTGAGCTTTGAAAAACTGAGAAAGGAAGTTATCTAAATGTAATTTTAAGAACTTTCTCGGAGTTTCGATCTTTAACGTAAGGACCTTAGTCCCAACTGATAAAACATTTTACTGTATATTTAATAGTTTGTAATTGGAAGATAGCAAGAAACTGAAATAATTGATGTTTTATGTAATTAATAGGTTACAAGAATGGGGAAGAAAGGCGCACGGACCTTAACTCTAATACTGCACATGCGCAAAGTAATTTAGGCTTAAAAGTATAATTAGTGTTACGGTTAGGAGAAATGCGCAATATTTTTATTTTATTTATTTGTTTTTATAGCTTTTTCTATGTTAATGTATAGGCGAACGTGTTTATTACTCCATCATATCAACATGTTTGCTTTCCACCTTGCGCCAGCCAGAGTGTGGTGTCCTGATAGGAACAATTGCTGGTGCAGGAAAGTCAGTGAATGCGTTAAGGGGCCACATTATTTAAAATTGAATACAGTGAAAAAAAAAGCTATTGCTTATATTTAAACTTCAAGCAATTCCAAACATAGGGAAAAAAATTCGTTTTTCTGTCAATATTAACGAAGTTATACGCAAGCAAAAGGGGCTGTGGATTTACCCACAAAAAATAATTTTAAATTTATTCTTTTATTTATTTATTTTTTACACGGATATGCTTTTTTGGTGTTTTGCATATTACTTATATCCCTAAGGATTTTTTTTTATATTAGAGAAAGGACTTTGAAATAAACAATGTTTGGAATCGGCATGATAGATTAATTAAAGCTGGGCATTGAGTCAGCGTTGAAACTAACTAAAAAATTTTAGAAGCATTATATCTTTGCATACAATGTTTTTTAAAATTTTGCTTCTTTCGATTTTATAATTAGAAAATATTCATATGTAAGCAAATTATTGCACAAATTTCTAGCAGTGATCAGAAATGCTTTTTTTTTTCTTTTTGATATGCTAAAATAAAAGTCTTAGGGATTTAAAACTTGGGAATCTTTTAATTTTTTCACATTTTAAAAAAAACTGGGCAATATTTATAATTCTTGAAAACTAATTAATGTAATGATTGTCAATTAAGTGTGTACGTAAAATAACAACAAAAAATTATTTTTGTATACTTCTACTCAAAATAGTTTTCCCGACCGCATAAATAAAAAAAAAATAAATAAATAAGTAAACCTTTAAAATTATAAATGAGATTTTTTTAAAAGGATTCTGTTCTGTATTTTAGCTGGTCCAAAAGTAGCTAGTTTTTCTTTCAAGGACGACCTTCACGAAGGAATGCTGACAGCCGTGACTTGTATTGTTGATTCCGGTGATGGTCCATTGGCCACAAGATGGCTTAAAGATGGTCAAGTTCTGCACGAAGAAGAACTAGATGTAGCGGTATTATACGCCCAGGATGGACACGTTACAACATTGACCATCCGTAATCTAGAATACAAACATAACGGAAATTATACATGTGAATCAACGAATGACGTTGCTACTGGATCTTACAGCGCTTTTCTTACTGTGAAAGGTTAGTAATATATATAAGAAAACACTTGTATTGGCTATTTAATTGAGTTATCTATTTATATCTTGTAATTTAAATTTAACTTGTTTTTAAATTAAGTTCCTCCGCGATGGATTTTGGAACCAAGTGATTTAACTGCTGTGTCTGGACGCCCCGCAAAAATAAATTGCCAGGCTGATGGAGTACCTCAACCTCATATCCGTTGGAAAAAAGCGACAGGTACAGAAATCAGATTCTATAATGGTATTAATTGTACTGATTACTAATTTTTTTTTGTTTATAAAATTTTCGTACAGCATTTATTAATTTATATTACAGTATTAAAACAATAAAAAATATGGGTGGATAAAAGTTCCAAGTAACTATAATATTTTAGTGAATTTATGAAAATTTGATTTACCTTTTTCTTATCTGATAAAAATTTCAATCTGATCAAGAACAATGATGATCACTGGTCAAGTTTTGAGATAAACTGGTAAAAGAAACTTGCAAAAAAGCAGAACTTAAAGCAAACCACTATAAGAAGCATCATCATCATCATAGTTGACCACACTGCCAAATGTGGGCCAATGCCTTTCTCTGAAGATGTCTCCATAACGACTCCCTATAATCCCCTGCAATAAGTATTTCAACTTCTTTAAAAGCTCTATGGGCGTATATTAGGGATTGCAGTTGATGCAACCAAGATTCATAGGGAAATGTCTAAAACGAGAACAAAAATTTACAAAGTCGAAAATTTTGGCACCCAGCTAATCAAAAAATAAAAATCAATTTAGCTTAAACGTTTTTACGTTAATAATAATATAAAGACTATACACTGCCTTTATTTCCTCTATAGGTGCTTTTAAATGGCAAGATCTGCAAATCTCTATCACCCGTTTAATTATTTTGCAATATATGGCCCACTCTCTTCTTCACTGTTTCTTAAGTTAATCTACTGTCACAATCTTTCTAAAGTTCTCGAATAATTTAGAAAAATAAAATTGCATAACTTAACGGGGTTTTTTAACAAAAGAAAAAAAAAATATCTTTTTAAAAAGCAAAAATGTTTTTTTCAATTTATAGAGTTAGTTACTTTTGCGTAGAAATATATAAGCTACCATATAAAAAAAATCTTATATTTCATACAGAACTAAGTAATTAGGAGATATATTTCTTTATATTTTCTTCCAGTGTTTGAAATTGTGAAATACAGTTACGAAGTTTGAATGCTTCTGTACCTTCTGAGTAAAAATTTTCCTTGCATTTACTCTGGTGCTTTCCTATTTGTCAAATAAATTTTCTACATCCTATATTCAATTGTATCGTTGTGAATTGAGATGCAAATTCTCTGCAAACTCGCTCAAATATAGTCTTTGAGAATGTGAAATAAATTTGTATCGTTTTGTATTCGGTATAACAGTAAAATAGATGTATGGTTTATATCTTATTAAAAATTCAGTTTGAGCAAAAGAAAAATGTATAAATAACAATCTTATTCTGTTTTAAATTTATAAATGAAGTAATTAATTTACAGTGTAAAATTTGAGTTCTACAATTATATCTACAGATATTCTTGAAAAAAATTAAAACGACTCGTTGAAAGCCTTTGCCCTTTTTTGATCTGCCCAATAGATTTTCAGTAATCGCATAGCATTTAAAAGCGTGGTTTTGTAAGAAAGCGCATTTTTTTTTTAAATTTCCACACAATGTTATGAATTATGAATATTTTCCTGGAGATGTTATCTTCTTTAAATTTGAAAAAAGAATAAAATTCTATTGAAACATTCATCATAAAATTTAAAGAAAAAAATGAGCTAAAAAATATTAGATAGTAATCCAAATTAGTAGAATAGGTTAGAATTTTAATAAGAGTTTTTTTGTTTCTTTTAAGGATGAATTAAGATAATGTTATATAAACAAATCGTTAGTTCATAATTTATTCTACAAATAATCCGCACATGTATTCAAATCATTGTTTTTGCAATGTACTTTGTACATATTTGTTTTGTCGAGAGATACAGTGATTGAGAAATTGAAATTTAGGTGGATTACTTTTCATGTAATTAAATTACTAGATGAAAATTGCATATATGATTACCATAACATTAATTTAAATTGTACGTTTAATATAGGATCACTATAATGTGAAAAAGTTTTAAAATTGTCGAATAAAAAATCATAATAATCCAGCCGGCCGAATACTCCCCGCGTAGTAAAAGCTGACTCGTAGGCATCAAATCTGCTGGGTTACAAAGTCCTCCATGCTCCCATAACAAATTATACCTATGGGGATACATAATTGGAGATTGATCGTTCTTTGGTCCAGGCCATACTTATGATCTGTGGATGAATGGGTCAGTCCTATAAACGAGTGTGACGTATGGGTGTAGCAGAAGTCGAATTCTCGGTCATAGATGGCGCCACTGGGAAACAAAAACAATCGCATGACTTCTGCGTTAATGACCGATGACAACAACAACAACAAAACATATTTTTTTTAAATGGTATATTTATATCGATAAATAGAAAGATGACTTTTTCTGATTAATGCAAATTATTTAATTTTTAAAAAAATTGAGCAAAATAGTAATACTTTTTTTTAAATATATTTCAGAACATCCCCCTGAACAGTTTAAGACTATTGTGAGTAGCTCCCATATTCATATTTTGGTGAATGGTTCACTTAACTTTCAAAGTATTGAACCATCGGATGAAGGATACTATCTATGTGAAGCAAATAATGGAGTAGATGTTGGATTAAGTACAGTTGTGAAATTAACAGTACATAGTAAGTATATTTTTAATTATTTAAATAACTTTTTTATTTTCGGCAAATTATAAAGGGGGCAATGTTTTCAAACTATTCTCCTGCGCATTTTCAAAAAGCTTTTAGAAAAAATTATTTATTTTTATCACACAAATCTGACGTCAACGTGTGTTATTGAGAATTTTTTCTAATAAAATTAATAGTTTAAGTATGATCAAGAAGTACTATATGTTAAGAATTTCGATTTGCTTACTAATTGAATTTTTCTAAGTAAACATTGTCATTTAGACTTAGATTTAAAGTAAGTGTTTTAGTTATTTTAATTAGTAAACTATGTAAAATCTGAGGTAAACAAACTCTTTTATTATTATTACCATTCTGATAAAATTAATTAGTGAAAATTCCCAACTTTTTTTTTCTTTTGCTATTACAGGTGCTCCCCAATTCCAATTTAAATTTAAGGTAATTGGAACAAGACGAGGTGAAAAAACCATTATCGAATGCAGCTGCTATGGGAATAGACCTATGAATTTTATTTGGCGAAAACAGGGAGCCATTATAGAACCATTCTCTGAACCAAGGTATTTTATTTACTTTTTTTTTAAAAAAAAAGCTTGTTTTCTCAAACAAGCTTTTATAAACTTTACTCTGAGCATTTTTCAAAATAAAGAAAATATAATTGTTTGAGACACGGCAGCTGACAACATCACTTGTATTTGCAATGAAATTCCTCACTTTATGACTTTATAGTGCACGTAAAGTAGAAATTAAAGTAAAACAAGTTGTTTAAAAAAAATTTCCCTAAAAAAAAATTAAAAAGTAAAATATTCTACTCAAATAACAAAATATTTTAACAAAGATGTTACCAAAGAATCCCATACTGATGAGAGATGCCGTTGTTTTTGAGTGATATACACTCGGGTGCGGCAATGCAGATCAGATAGAAATGTTGAAGTATCACAAAAAAATCCGATAAAACAGATATTTTGAATTATTTTCTTGGGTTATTATTTTTCTTTCTTATTCAAACATTGAGTTCAGACAATTGAATGTGAAGTGGTCAGAAGCTTGTGTGCTTCCTATCTAAAGATTGGATATTTAAAATTTCCTTAATTGGGTGCATTCTATTCCAATAATAAATTTAGTCTTAAGGTCCTCTAAGTTTCATTACTGCCTTTAAAATATTTTACGCCATTAATATTTTTCTTATATTCCGGTACAATGCTCAAAAGAATAGGAATACTCTGAGTACCTTTTGATCTAATCATCGGATTACCACGTACTTGGACTTAATGATCAGTCTGCCTCAGACAAAAAACGTGGTTTCTCTCTATAAATATACTTTTTTTTCGACGTATTCTGATTTTTGGCCCCCTTAAAATAAGGGAAGTAGCTCCAATCTGGAAAACAGGATCCCAATAGTATAGTTAATGCAAAAGAGAGTTTGAAAGTTTTATACCCTTAATAAAGAAAGGGCGTGCAATATTTAATATCACAAGAGCAATTCAAACGATTTCGTCCAAATTTTGTATTATCTATTTAAAATTACATGAAGACATGCAATTATGTTCCGGTAAACTACTTTTATAATTATGTTCAAAAACTTTTTAATTTGTTTAAAAATTTCTCCAGGTATAGAGAAATACGCAGAAAGTAAAATTAACGTCAAGTGGTCCTAACTTTTGTCCTCTCTCTGGTCTAAAGCATCGAGAAAAGGTTTTCCTAATTGCGGCAACCCGGTCATATTTTTATAGTCAAGTCTCCGAATCCACCAAAATAAAAGTATGCTTATTCAGAGAAACCACGTTATTTTTTATATTTTTTCATAACTTATAATCCTAACATATACTTTTTCTCATAATAGAGGTCTCGCATTTTTGTAATGCACCAAAAACTCCTTCAGCCTTATTCTCCTCAAACTGCAATCCACGTCGAATTGTTTCAAATGATTTTAACATTTCCTCATAGGAAGGTGTGCTAATTTCTTCATCTCCTTCGTCTTCCTCATAATTTATGGCTGTATTGTTTTTATTTTTCACACCGCGCAAAATATCCGATTCAGTTGATGTTTCGGTGGTTCAAGCTTCAGAATCAATAGAAAGAAAGTCATTAATCAGTACATCATCATTAATTTCGTGGTTCTCTCTTAGCTGTACCCACTTTTTTTAAGTTCTTCTAAAGAAAAGTCATCCTCATCCTCCTCACTTTCCAAATTCTCAGCGTTGACAAAGAATCCTGCTTTAGCAAAAACTGTTACGAAAGGTACGATCTGTAACATCATAGTTCCTTGCTTTAGAAATTTCTATTATGCTTTCTCACAAATTGATAATTGGCATAGATTGTTTATTTTCAAGTGCAGTGATAACTTTTCGTACAATTTTTTTGCGGTAGTGCAGTTTAAAGCTTTGAATCACCCCTTGATCTATTTAATGTAACTTCGATTTAGTGTTTGGTGGCAAGTAAAGAACTGCAATGTTTTTGTTTTTCAGTTTTTTGTTGATTTCCTTTGAATGAGCAGGACAATAGTCGAAAATTAGAGCAATTTTACGATACTCTGTAATCATAAGTTTATCCAACTTTTGAATCCGTTTTTCACAAATTTCTGACGTCATCCGTGATTTTTTGTTGAAATCATAATCAACCTTCAAAGATTCCCTTTATCTTCCCAGCTCATTTCCTACTGAAGGAATTTGACCCTTTCCCCCTTTTCTAGGGGTGTTGCATTTCCTGTATGAAATGCAAACAAAAAGGTAAAGGAATTTTACTGCTTTCTCCAAAAGTAGATGCGAAAATCAATTCACAGTGATTTCCCCCATAAAATGCGTTAAAAAGTTCATAATTGTCTCAAATATTTTGGAAAATAGGGAAAGTAGATTTCAAAAAAAATTCGTTAAATAGAAAATTCACTGCATTATTTGTAAGTTATTTTACGAAGAAATTTCCACATTCTTGGTTCCACGAAAAAATTCGCAAAATAGAGAAATTACGTAAAATGGAAATTCGTTAAATAGAAGTCCGACTGTAACTTAAATATAGTCTGCACTAATTAATTTGCATATTTAAGGTTATACCCTTGAACTATTAAGGTGTAATCCTAGTACGTGATAAACTGATCATTAGATCAAAAGTTATTCATGGCATTCCCTGTCTCCACTCGTAAAATAGCTTCTACAAGACAAACGCAGCGTGTGTTGGAGTACTCTTGCTATTTGACTAACCATAACACGCTTATAGTTTCCACCTCCTATATAATGCCAAAAACAGTTTCACAAATCATGTCCTCTACGGAAGCATTTTGGTCTCAATGTTGAATCCATCATTTTTCTGTAATTCGGTAGACGGAAAAAAAGGTCCCGGTAAAAAAGGTCCATGGAAAAAAAGGTACGGAAAAAAGGGTCCCTGGAAAAAAAGGTCCCGGAAAAAAAGGTCCCGGTAAAAAAGGTACCTCCATAGGGAAAATCTGTAGGGATATTTCCCCTCTCGCTTTCTGGGCAGCATGAATGCTTCTCGCTGTTTCAATGAATATTTTTTTTATCTGTAATAATTCAGATTAGATCATTGAGGTAAGGAGAAGGTAAGGGGGGGGACTTATGGGCTGCTTGTATTACGCTTTTTTTTAAAATTTTATTTCATTTATTCATTATTTTTAAAGCGGGAAGATACAATTTAAATTTTTCAATAATGTTTTACTTTTTTTTGTAATTTTTCTAAGTGAAAAAATGTGTTATTTTCTATTTTAAATTATATTTTGTGAAGAAGTTGCTAATGTGAGGCTTAAAGTAGCCAATCGGGGAAGTTGGGAGGATTTATGTGTTGGATGTTTATTCGTGATTGGAGGTGAAAGTATTGGTCCTTTTTAATTAGTTGAAAACGCGCGACACGAAAGAAAAAAAAATGCATGCACGGAACAGCAAAAAGCGCTTCAATCTAATCTTCTCATTTCAAATATTTTCCCTACATAGGTACCTTTTTTACTGGGACGTTTTTTTCCGGGGACCTTTTTCTCCGGTACCTTTTTTCCTAGAATCCTGTAATTCAGGTTAGATTTAAAACAATTAGCCTACCAAATAGCAAACTTATAAATCAACACGAAATAGTGATTGCTTTCTTAATCTGTCATTACCTTTTTCAAACTTGTTCTTTTGTCCATATTAGTCACACCACTTTACTCGTGTTTGCCTCTTTATTTTCCTATCTTTACTTGACGTTTAGGCACTGTGTTCTTATTTATGGAACGGAAATTATAGTATGCCCATTTGTGTTCTTTCATTTATGCTTTATTGACCTTAAACAAATTTCAAGTCTACATAGCACAAAGTATACCCCATTCTTTGTTGGATATTATTACTATGTTGAAATTTTTTAATCAGAAAAACAATAATTGGTTTTTGAAACTGATAGTAGTATGTTTGTCAAAGAAATCATTCATATTTGTTAGTAGCAATGTTTATAACTAATATTTAAAGTTAAAAATTATCATCTTAAATGCTTATTTTAATAAAATGAATAAATTATCACAATTAGAAATTCGCTACATATGTTTTAATAATGGGAATTACCAATTTTTCCTTCTATACCTTCATTGATATGTAACTTTATATTTAATTTATTTTTTGCATGTTTACAATTTATCTAACTTAAAATATGGAACTTCTTTTAAAAAATTTCAGGTATCGAATAACCCAAGAAGAACTATTAGATGGTGACAGAAGTAAAATAATAATTGAAAAAGCTGAAAGAAAAGATTCAGCGTTATTTACCTGTACAGCTGTAAATGATTACGGCGAAGATTCAATGAATATCCAATTAACGGTTCAAGGTAAGTTGAGAAATCTTGCAAGATTTTTTTTCTAATGATGCGGTGGAAATACTTGATTTAAAGCCTGATGCTGTTCTGGCTCAGTCCTAATTAATTTTAATGAGGATCGCATTTCTTGCAAGAACCAGGCTTTAATTTGCTTTATTTGTGGTTTCAAAACTCGTGGCAAACCGCAAAGCATGGAAAAAAAACTAGATCATTAAATTTAAAAAGGAAGATTTTGAACTTAAAAAATTGAAGATTAGAAGGATTTTTTTCTATAATAACCTTGGTTTTATGATGAAATATCTACAGATGTGTTATCTTAATCCTTATTATTAGTTAGGAATTTTATTTTCTTAAAGAACATATTTTTGCGAATTAAATCTATTCAAAAAATATAGAAGCATAATTTTATCCACATAATCTGATCTTCATATTTAAGTAGACAAAATATTTTTAAAAAATAAAATAAAGTAGTTTTATTGAAGCGTATAAATTTATTTCAAAAATACTGTCCACCTTTTAAAACTGATGTATTGGGTACAAAAATGCATCAATAACAAACTTTCTAAAGAAAAAATGAAACATAGCAATTTGTGTAATGAATATTTAGTGACTAGACTAGATCTTGTATTCTAGAAATTCGAACATAGGGCTAGTCTAATTGATTTATCAGGTTTTAAACACTGCATATTGAGAGGTATAAGACCTGTAAAGGTGGATGATTCATTGTACTCACATATTTTAAAGATTAGTCTTGTGCAAGACAAACCCTTTTATCATCTGTCTTTTTCTCTTGACACTGTAAATAAATTCCAGATAAATTAATGAAAGTAAATGTTACCGGCACTCAGGATGACTGTACTTTTTACTGTAAAATTCTTTTTTATCGTTAAATTCCAAGGATCGAAAAATCTAATACACTGTAATTTTTACGGTAATGTTTACTGTAAAATCACTGAATCAGAGAAATTTAATAAGTATTACTGTAAAATTACGGTATAAAGTTTTACGATGAAAATATATTGTACGGTAAAAAGGATTTCACGGATTTTGTATTAAGGGGGCCAATATTTTTTACCGTTATTTTATCTGGATTTTTTACAGTGTACTGGTTTGCGTGATGTTCCATTTTTTTCACCTCTTCTAGGTCACTTGAACTTCTTTCGTGTCATTTTTCATTATGATCTTATGGGAAGGACATATTTTATGTACCTCAAATGATAAAAAACTACTGCTATGACAGGCATTGAATGAAACGAAATGTTTAGAGAGTTAGAATAAATATTGCGCAAGTTATAAATAACAAATTTATTAAACGATACAATTTTGCATAATGAATTACAACACAAATGATTTATTTTCACTAATTTAATACGCTTTATGATATAAAGTATGATAGATAAAGTTATTTTGATATTAACAACTGAAAACATTTATTTATGCAAGATAAGTAATTCCTATTTGTTATTTTACAGACATACCTGATGCACCACAGAATTTAGAAGTTCATGATATTTCAAGCAGGAATGTTCGACTTACATGGAGTAAACCATTTGATGGAAATTCTCCCATTGTACAGTACACAGTTATGTGGAGACGTTTAAATGGTAGTTAGTCTTAGTATTAAATAAATTATAAAAAATAAATAAAGCAGTGCCTATGCTACGTTGCATTTTATAATACATTGGAAATATATAAATGCTCAATATTTAAAAAANAAAAAAAAAAAAAAAAAAAAAAAAAAACCGAGAAAGTATCTAAGTTTTATTTCAAAATTGTCCCGAAAGATGGCGCTTCCATTTCTCACTGCATTTTTTTAATGGGGTTTAATTTTAATTTTTAAAGCCTTGTATAATAAATACATAAAAAAGTATCGCTACTTCACTGCATTTAGCGGAAAAAAAGGTTATTTCATTAGAGTAGGAAATGCAAGTTGTAGTAAAATCTTACCCTATTTATATTCNGAGAAAGTATCTAAGTTTTATTTCAAAATTGTCCCGAAAGATGGCGCTTTCATTTCTCACTGCATTTTTTTTAATGGGGTTTAATTTTAATTTTTAAAGCCTTGTATAATAAATACATAAGAAAGTATCGCTACTTCACTGCATTTAGCGGAAAAAAAGGTTATTTCATTAGAGTAGGAAATGCAAGTTGTAGTAAAATCTTACCCTATTTATATTCTGAAACTTATTCTATTCGATTAATTTAAAATATTCTATACAATTCGATTAATTAAAAATATTCTATTCAATTCTATTATTTAAAAATATTCTATTCACTTCTGTTAATTAAAAATATTCTATTCAATTCTATTAGTTAAAAATATTCTTTAAAAATATTCTATTCAATTCTATTAATTAAAAATATTCTTTAAAAATATTCTATTCAATTCTATTAATTAAAAAGATTCTATTCAATTCCATTAATTAAAAATATTCTATTCATGCAAAGGGAGATTCAGTATTAATCCTAAACTGGAAATTAAAGTAAAGATTATTGGACTAAATAACAGCTTTTAATTTTTGCGTTGATAGTAGATAGAAAATACTTTGTCCGAATCAAAATTATGACAATTACTTAGCGAGTGACAATTTTTAGTTAGTAAAGTATGTATGAAATGGGAAATCGGTTAGAATCTGGGAATTACTGGATGCTAATAAGACTGAATAAATTTATATATTTCTATATTTTCCTGTTTTTCTTTTATATTAAAGTTAAAGCTGCAGTTTTCGGTTAAAATTGTTAAATACTTATATAACTGCGAATAAAATTCATAATAAAATAAGGTAAAATGTGAGGAAATAACACATATTAAATAAGCTCTTGTCTAGGTAACTCTTCGGATGGACCTGTATCTGTACCTGGATCAGAAACAACTGTAACTATCAGAGGACTGAAACCAAAAACTCGATATTTTTTCCGGGTAAAGTGTCAAAATTCATTTGGCGAAAGTCAATTTGGTGCAGAAGTTGCGGCAACATCTTTAGAAGAGCGTAGGTATAGAATTTTTTTAATATATTCATAAAATCTGTTAAACAAATTAATTTAATATCTAGAAGAAGAAAATAAACAGACGTGTTTATTTAAAAAAATTTTTTTAAGAAAATATGCGAAGTTGAAAAGTTAAGATTAGCTCATTGAAAAAGGAGAAGAAAATGACCAGAAGTGTAAAGAAATTTTTTGAAGCTTAAGAAAAGTGATTTTAGAACAACACATTTATTACTTTTTTAGAAAATAATTTAAAATAGTTGAAAGTTTCAGAAATATTTATATATATATTTCACAACTATTTCTTTCAGGAAAAAGGGAAAAAAATACTGTATGTTGAATTTCTTAGTTTTTTTGCGTTCTTTCTTTAAAACCGGTTAAGAATTCAATGTTTTAGANTTTTTTTTTTTTGCTGTGTTTCTGTAAAACCGGTTAAAAATTCAATATTTTAAGCTCAAATATTGCTTTCTTATACGTCACCAGTTGTAATTCCTAAATAGTAACACAACGTTTGCACTAGTTGGATGGATTTTATATTTTAATTTAAAATATATTATAATCATTGGAGAAGCAATGAAATGGTTCGTAAAACGTAACTTGCTTAGTTATTAGTTTAGTAAATTTGATAAAAATTAACTCTTTATGATAATTTAATATCGATATCCTTTTTATATAGCTCCACGCCACCCACCTGAAGATCTGAAAGCACTAGTTCTATCATCGAGGACTATAAATGTTACATGGAGTGTAAGTATCGATATTTTTCAATCAACAATAGCAATTAAGGTTGAGTAGGTACTCTTAAATCTTCTTCAGTTTCGGGCCAAGCATTTAATGTAATTTAGTCGAAATTTTTTTAGATCAATGATGTTTTTCTTTCTTTCCTTTCTTTCTTTTGATAAATGCCGAATTTTGGAGCTCAATAAATGTACTCAAGAAAAAAAATCTAAATAATGGATCGTATTGTTTTTATTATGCTGTATAACCAATCAAGATGTACTAGTTCAGAGACGAGGCATAAAAATATATATGCACTACAAGTTTTATCGATTGCAAACACGATGCAGAAGAGATGGCATAACGAGATTATTGTAGGAAGGAATGGGCCATGAAAGGACGTGGCACAGTAATGGTATAAAAATGAAGTTTTTTTTAATAACTATATGAGTTTTATGTAAGCATGCTTGTTTTATTACATGAAAATGTAAATGGTCATCAACTATACTTTAAAAAATTCTGGATAAAATTACTTGCAATTCGGGTGTTCATCCGTAAAATGCATTTTACTCAAAAATTCATTTTCAACGTAAAACATTATACCGTGGTAATTCATTTTTTTCGATCCATGTCAATTCATTTTCGAACCGGCATTGAAAGGTGAATAACGAGGGTGAATACATTATTGATTTTTAAGAAAATCTTGATAAAAGAAATACCAAATGCACCGAAACGACATTATTTTCCGGTTCCCCTAAATGGTATTTCCCATTTGTAAATGTTCGTTTTTGTTTTAAAAAAAATACAATGAAATTCTTCGAATTATACTTTTTTTTCAGATGACCATACAAGATGACAGAAGCAGTATTGAAGGATTTTACGTCGGCTATAAATTGTATGGAAGTGCTGATACGTATACTTTTAAGCCTATACAGTTTACCTCTGAACCTTTACAACACTTTTTGATCAGTAGTCTCAATCGGTTCACTGAGTACAGTATTATCGTCCAACCATTTAATTCCAGAGGAGCTGGGCCACCATCGGAAGAAATCAAGGCGAAGACCTTACAATTTGGTACGAATCATTTCCCCCCTTTTTTATTCTTAATTTTAATTGCAAAAGGAGAAGTTATCATTGAAATAATGTAATTATATGCACATAATACAATTATATCTGATAAAGTGATGTAAAGTACTCCTACATCAGCCACTTATCAAGACCAGGAGATCATGTGGGTTAAGATTCTAGGATTTCGAAACCAAAGTTGTCCACTTTGAGCACCAGTCATACATATTTTCAATACAAGGTGGTATCCATCAATCTGAAGCTGATCTTGTCTTAAGCCACCCACTGGAATCAAACCAAAGATCTTCACCTGGACAGCCCAATATACTGGGCAATCGTAACTCCTTACCTGATTAAGTAAAAGAAAATTCACAATTTTTAAAGCTCTTAAAAAGTGGAATGAAGATTCAATTTAAATTTTGCTTGCTCAGTGTATTTAAAAGCCGTGTCATTAGTTTAGATTAGTAAATAAGTGGAGAATAAAAGGAATATAAGCTATCATAAGCTATTCATTGTGTGAAATTAGTTTGCATTACTGCATATACATTTGAAAAAAAAATGTAATTTCGAGTAGTTTAAAAACTGTATTGTCGAAATATTGAAGTCAATCCATGCGGTAACTTTAATGATTATAATACTAATACTTCGATGATTATATAGTAATTATGATTACATAGATTATGATGATATAATAATAGTTTGTGATTACATAGTAATGGTTACATGGAAGATAATAATGGCTTCTGTTTTTTGTTTTAAAGAAATAGGACAACTTTTCTAAGACAATTTTAACATAGTAATGAGCTAAGTTATTTCGCAGTAAACTGAGTTTAGAAAAGGTTTATTTTTATCAGCATGTCGAATCATTCTCAGAATTATTTTAAGCTGTGAAAACTGTATAGTTCTTATAATATTAAGTAAACGATAAAATTCGAAATAAAATTGAATCTTTAAGCATCTAGATTTTATTTTTTATATCTCTCTTAAATCCAGATCCTCCTGGAGTACCAGTTATCAAGACATACTACGCTACATCGACTACAATTAAAGTGTCCTGGGAGCTTTATGCACTACCTAGTGCTCCTGTGTCAGGTATGCAAAGCTGATTCCAAATTTAATTATAGCAATTTTAAAATTAAAATTTAACTTTAATGCAGAATTAAGTACCCTGACTGTATGAAGCTTTTAATTTAGAACATGCACAAAGATATTTTAATTATACAGCTTTAAAAATCTGTTTAGTGTTTTCTTTAAGGACATAGATGTAATTGGAAAAATTTTATTTGTAATATTTCGCGTAACATTTTTGGATAATTCTATTATTCTTAAGAAAAAAATCACTTTTTAGCAACTAAGTTAAGAAAATGTATACTTTTAATAAGGCTCACACATTAAAATGAATTTATCCATACCGCATTTAGTTTCTGACTAGAAGTGTTTAAAAAAATTGTGATGAAACGCTTCATTTTTTTTCAAACTTTGCTTATGTTTCACATTTCATTACGCAGTATGTACAGAGTTGTTTAATAATTTTTAAAGCCATTTTTATTTTTGTTTCTCAAAATTTGATTATACAACTAAAAACACACACTAAATAAGTAAAAAAAAATAAAAATAAAAATTTTTGCAATCTGTGTTTAATTTTGTTTGTCAAATTATTTTTTATGGATAAAAGTTCACATCTATCTAAGCAATTTATTTTTAGAAATTAATGACACTGAGGAACATTTTTTTTTTTGTTTTTCACAACAGTGCAAATACCTAGACTTGCCTAATTCAGGTGCGGAATTTCAAATCTTAAATAATTTTGCTCCTAAATAATAAATATATTTGCTTAAATAGTTTTGCTCCTAAAGCAACAAAATTTTCTGAAAGAACACTTTTTTTTCTTTTTGTCGCAATGTAAAAATATAGAAACGTTATAAATAACTGGGGGTCACATAACTGATCCGAAAATCTTCTTCGGTGATTAGAAAACATTATCAGGATTGAAATTAAATAGGAACTCCAGTCCGGAAATGTCATTGTGCGCTTCCCTATTATGAACTGTTAAGAAGCACACAACAAAACAGTTTATACTAAAGAATCCTTAGTGGTGATTTATGATGTCATTTTCGGTAACAAGTTCCTATGCAATTTTATTCCAGTTAAACTAACCCTGCTGAAAACACGTCGCAACTATTATGGGACTAAAAGACTTCTAAATTTTGACGAAAAATAGGCTAAAAATGTCTTTTAAAAATGAATCTGCAGTTTGGGGAGAGAAACCGATAGCAGATTTGAAATTAGCGAGACGAAAGCTTCTAAGATCTGTTTTAAAATGTCATACTGCAAAAAAAAAATGTTCCTCTGCGTAATTTACGTAACAATAATGAAAAGTTTCCCAATTAACTCAAAATCTCACATTTAGGATATATTTTAAGACACAAACTTGAAGACCAGCCTTGGCAGGAGACGCATTTGAATGGTGATCAGACAATATACACATTGAAAGATTTGCAATGTGGTTCAACTTACTATTTAAGCTTAGTAGCATATAATGCTGTGAGCCACGGAAATTCAAGCGAAATTGTATCAGCAAAAACAAATGGAAATGGTAAGTCAAATTTTATTGATAGATATTAACTAAAAATTGGGAAACCAGACTTGTCATATGCCAAAATAAACTCTTTGTGTCGAAGCTTTAAAACACGTTCGATGCTTTTTTACTTTTTGTTCAGACATTTTTAACTTTACGGTAAGGCCAAACATCTTCCAAAATCTGATGAATAACGAGTCTTTTTTTTCTCCATATGTTGATTGTTATGAATTTTGCACTGTTGTTGATGCATCGAGAAAAAGCTTCCTTTTAAAAAATCGCTCAGGTTGCTGAAACTTGCTTTGTATTTCAATTTAACGCTATTAGTGTATGCTATCAACAGCATAAAACAATTTAAATGGAATTAAAATAAGTGTTTTCAAAGTCTGAAAAATAATTAAATAATCAAAATGTTAGACGAAAGACAGTCAAATAAAGAAATACATCCCACAATATCACCTGAATGAAGGACAAACAATATATTATCTGATATATTATTATGCATCAAATTTCAAATAAAATGAGAAAAAAAGCACAGATAGTAACACAGAAACTGAATAGTTACTTCTTTAATGAAGAACTATTTTAGAATCAAAACAACACGGTATAAAGTACTAGTGCAGATAGATCATTAGTAAAATTCGTTTTACAGAAAATCCATTTTTACGGTACTAATTCCGGATCAAATTAAGGTATAAAGTATCAAGACTTTGTGTGCATCAGTCGTAAAATCTAATTCACCGTAAAATCCATTTTTACTGTAAAATATTATACCGTAATTGGTAGAGTAGAAACCGTATAATGAGAGTGATTCAGTAGTTTTAAGGTAATTATTACTATAAAAATTATTGTTACTGTAACTTTTATAGTAATATTTATTTAATGAGAGTGATTCATTTATTTTACGGTATTTATTATTGTAAAATTAAAGTATATGCGTTTTTCGTTTCGTAACATGCTCCAGTAAAAATAGATTTCATGGAGTCATCCTGAGTGCTGCTACTTCTTACAGTAATTTGATCTGGAAATTTTCACAGTGAATAGCATCCCTGCTTATGTCATATAATCTATGCTTTATTTTTCCATTATCTCTTTTCATAATAAAGTCAACACTTCCACTTGGAAAAGCTATTCTTCTTAAAATAAAAATTTAGAACAATTTGATTTGGAGATTTATTCAGAAGAAAACCGAAGCTGACAGAAATATATTTAAAATAGAATTCTACATGAGGTTTTGGATAATGGGCAATTTTCAAAAACGATTAACGAGGCATGTAATTGGACAACTCATTTTACAACATAAGTTCGTGCGCAAAACAAGCTTATCACGAAAGAGAAAGAGTATGGGTATTTAAAAGGTTGAAAAAACAACAAGCAATTAACCTAATTAGCCCCAAATCTCTTGTAATCAAAATTATTTAAGTAATAACCCATTTGCGCTCAGCAAATTAAAAAATCGGAATTCTAAATCATTGTTACTAAATACCAAATGCTTAGTTACATGCTTGAAAATCAAGATGTAGACATGTTTTACGCTTCCATAATTTATCCTTACTAATTAATTAATCTGATCATGGATCGATATTTTTAGTCACAAAGAGTTGAGTCTACGAAAGATCTCTTATATCAAATTGATTACTGTTGCTAGGAGTGATTAATACTGTGTTTTAACTTTAAACTTCTAAACATTTTAAATATCAAAGAGGATAAAGCTATTAATTATTTATCGCTACCTCAGTTATTTCTAATAGTAATAAAGTTTTTTTCAAAGTAATAAAGCCACGATTGGAAGTAGGAATTACACATCTATAAGTTATACGAACTATATTGTTTTAAATAAAATAGATTTTGTTTAGGAGATTTAAATTAAGTAAACTATTTTATAATCAATTATTAAATTTTATATTTTATAATTAAAATTAATGGATGTTTTTGTCTCTAAATACGTAATGAGAAAAATTAAAGTGAAAATCAACTGAATTATTTAACTTTAGTCTCATATTCTAATTTTGAATTTAACTTTGTTTTGATCTAACTAAAGACTGGATATACGCAAATATTGATTGGTTATTTGCTTTTCTTTCTAGTTAAATATCATCATTGTCTTTAAAAAAATCCTATACAATTTTTAGAAAAAATAAGGATTGATAATAATATAACTGTTTTTCATTTAGCTATTATTATTATTATTATCGTTATTAAATGAAACAGGAATATAATGATTACCATTTAAGAAAGATTAATCAAAATGAACAGCAAATATTCCACACAAAATGCTCTAGGCAAATTCAACATACTTGGAATAATTTATGGAGTGAAATATATTATATTAACTCTAAGCCTGCGGAGAAATATTAGATATAATGAATGAAGCAAAATATAAACTATGTTTTTCATTATGTGTAGTAGTTGTAGTACTCTATTTACATCGCACTGGAGCTACGCAATGTGCTATCAGTGACGGTCTGGGAAGCATTCGTGAATCTAACACAGTAGAATAGTTCTGCAATGACCGATCCCACACGCCATCAGTCCCTGATCAAAATTGTCACCCGCCTGACTTAGTTGGTCTACTGGGCTTTGTGCCTTACAGTCAGTTCACTGGGGAAAAAAGTAAAGCGTAAAAAAAATTAAGTAAAAAAAAATTTAATCCAATTAATTGTATTAATAAAATTAAGTAAAGTTAAGTAAAAAAATATAACTAATAACTGATACTAAACTATTTTTCAGCCCCTATTGCACCTGACAAACGAATGTTNCTGGGGAAAAAAGTAAAGCGTAAAAAAAAATTAATCCAATTAATTTTATTAATAAAATTAAGTAAAGTTAAGTAAAAAAATATAACTAATAACTGATACTAAACTATTTTTCAGCCCCTATTGCACCTGACAAACGAATGTTGCTTACTGTCAATAAAACAACAATAATGGTAAATTTGAACAGTTGGCATAATGGAGGATGCCCAGTTACCTTTTTCATCATCCAGTATCGAACCATTGGACATCCAGAATGGACATTGGTCAGTAACAATATAATACCAGAACAACAAACAATCACAATTACGGATCTAACGCCGGGAGCCTGGTATTCATTGTTGATGACAGCCCGTAATGATGCTGGTTCTACTGATGCGGAATATGTTTTTGCAACACTTACTGTGACTGGTGGTAAGCATTTTCTTTGTGCAAAACTATTTTGTTACATTCGGAAGGCCTATTCAGTGTACCTATAATGGTCGTGCATAGCAAAAATGACCTATCATTAAAATCGATTACAAAACTTATATGAAAATTTATATAGATGAGAAAATTATTTCACTTTTCTAAGTCTAATTTAAATTGTGACTTATTATGCTTCAATTTAAATATCCTAAAACACTTTATCATTTTTTGAAAATCTAATATATATAATTCTCTTACGTGGCTCCCAAATTTCGGCTATATTTCTTTTCCGCCGGTGGCAACGTTCGCTCTGTTTTGTTTACGTTACTATTTCTCATACACGACGACGAAAAAAAGCCTCATTACAACTCCCCGAATGGCAACGCTAGAAAATCGACCAATTATTGCCGCTAAAAATGGCACGTGCCAAATCTAACTGAGATGGCTTAACATATAACTCTTTTAAAAACGGAAACTGGAATAACCAGAGAGCATCAGCTGCGGCAATCTCACACTATTAAGGTAGGTAGAAGTGAGTAGTCTTTGTCGATAGATCTCTATTTTAGTATTTTGTCGAAAGCGCTTTTCTTCACGAATTTATTTGACGATTTTTGATTTATATCAAGAGTTATACTATGGCGCATTTCTAATAGGTTTAACGAATTACATGTCATTTATTTGAATTCAAATTTATTTTAATGACTTAGTATTTACTAAAAAGATGTAAATTGTTTTTAAAAAAAAGTTTTTATATGGATTTGAATGATTGTTTTGAATTCTTAGAATTTCGTGCATTTGCAATGTACCTAAGTTAGTAGCGAGCGAAGCGAGCTTGGTTGGCGAAACAAACCATATAAGATTGCGTAGCAATTTTCGGGTATTGGCGAGCGTTAACGAGCAGGGGGGCAGCTCACTAGTATAGAATAAATATATTTACTTACGAGGTCGATCTCATCTGAGGAAAAATACATGACAACCCTTATTTTATTTAAAATAAACATATTGGTTTTTCGCAACAGTTATTTTCTTTCAAACAAACTTATTGGAATTTCTTAGAATAACTATGAACTTTATTATTCAGAAGGGTATGCTTGCTAATTGGGATTTGAATGCAACTAAAAAAAACTAAATAACTATTTTCTTCAAAATTATTTTTCTCAATACAGTTTCTCTCAGCAATATTTTCTACAATATTCTTTCCACTTTGAGGAAATTCAAAAACTAATTTAGAAGATTTAAAATAAAAATAAAAAAATGTTTCCTCAACTCAAGTCAACAATACTCGATAAATTCAACAATATTTTCTACAATATTCTTTCTACATTCAGGAAACCTAAAAACTAAATTAAACGAACGAAAATGAGAAAGAAATTCAAAAAATAAATGATTTCAAGGATCAAAATAAAAATAACTGTAATGCTAAAAACCAACATTAAAATATAGGTTTATATATATTTAATTCAAAGAAGTTTTTGTAGTCGTAGGGTGATCAAAAATAACATAAAATTGACAAATTAATATTCTTATTTTTGTATTAAGTTCGTGATGTGACAATATGATTGAGAAATAATATCTCATATTGTTTTAGGTGAAATTTATAAAAATATAAATAATTGGTCTTCTGCTTCATTTTTTTAAAGGAGGCAAAAGCTTTGAGATATATATGAAAATGTAACATAACAGAAAGTAATTAATTCGAAGCATGAAGAAAACTGTTAGGGGATTATTTGAAATTAACCTAAAATTTTTGTTCTAATGCTGCCAAATGGCTATGTGTTACTTATTTGCAGTTTGAGTTGGCGATTAATTTTGAATTTTAAATAGACTTATTAGCTAAAATTTGGAAAGCTTAAAATATAATGGGTGAGGAATGATAGTAGAGGACCTCGATTAAATAAGTTTAAAAAAAACTGTGAAAGGAAATGGGCAAGACCGTATTCAAATAAATCAGGTAATATATAAATCGGAAAATAATATATAAGATCGATATATAAATATATCGGAATATTGTTTTGATACATCACTTTCTATTTTAATGCATCACACATCGATTATTTTTCATTAAAGTTATGATAAGTTAATGTTTCAAAACTTGATGACAGTACATAGGTCAAGAATACAATTACTATTTATCAATGCCCTATTTTTATCCCATCTATTAAATATTATATTATCTTTATATTGTAATCTTTTTTCTTTCTTTTTTCTCTAGAATACCCTCCTCGACCTTCAGAAGTGAGTGATGTAAATGGTTCTTTTTACCGTCACTTGACCATCACAGTGCCCGTCATTTGTTCCATTATAGTTCTTGTTGCAGTACTTTGCGTGGTTTGCATCATCACTATGCGAAGAACTTCCGCTAGAAGTCCCAGAACTCCAGATGGTAGGTTTTTCTCTTTCGAAAATGTGTTCCGAAGTACAATAACATTTATAACTTAGAAGAAAATTACATAGAAAATTTCCTAAAAACGATTTATTTTTATGGAATAACTGTTTCACATCAATTTACGGAAATGTCTTTCGATTATTGATCGAAAATAAATTTTGTACGGCTTGAATAAAAATGACTCATAACTAAGCGAAATGATTTTTTTCCTACGGGAATATAAATGGTGTAGTGTTATGGCAGTTTTTAAATACCAAGTACATTAATTTATCTTTTAACACTGGTATTTAGCTCAGACATAATGGCTTTTCAATTATGGTTTCCCTTTTTTTATTAGAACTACTGTAACTTTTTTTATTAGAACTTATGCGTCGTACAAAAAGAGAAGGAAATAGTGAATTTCCTTCTGCGGATTTTTTAAACGGTGCTGTAATGCACAGAAGCTACTTTCACATGTATATTACCAATTAACATAATGTATGTACAGTCACGCATAAAACATAAAACATAGTGATGCATTTAGCTTGTTATAAGGGCGTTTTAAGTATTCTGCTAAGTTGAAAAAAAAGATAAACAGTAAAAAGACAAGGTTTGCTCGTTTGTAGTTTACAGGTAGCTCGTAACCACAGCCTTAACACTAGAAAGACTGGAATACCTATATTTCCCAAAAGCAGTCAAAATGACTGCATTGTGAAAGAATAACTAATGTATAAAGAAATTTGTTTAAAATTAATTTTTGATATTATTTTCAGTTATATAACAAGTTATTAGTAAATATTAACAATAAAAAAAAATTATGCGTGGTACAAAAAGTCACCAAATTCTAAGAAATTGGGTCATCATTGTTTCGCTAATTGAAATTAAAAAGCAGTCAAAATGACTTCCTTAGGCAATCTAGTGTTAATAATATAATTTTAGCATTCTTGTAAAAAAATTAATTCAATCATAATCATTTATGCAATAATTGTATAAGCATACATATTGATTGTCACCCATTACGTTAAATTAATACATTAACCCCTTCCTTCTCACTCCCGTGAAAATGACGGGCTGGAGTGTTCAGTAGTCACGTGTCAATAAGAATAAAACTAATTAATTTCTTTTGCCCCAAAAATATTTTATTTCTCATTTTACACACCTGATGGCAGTACCTGAGTATTTTTAAGGTAATTGTAGATAGTTAGTTAATTTTAAACTAGTTGCAGCACTAATCAAATACGTAATGCAAATACAAGAGCAAAAAAATAGGCACTTTTATGACCGTTTTCTTGAAAATTAACCGATCGTTAAGGGGTAAATGAACAGAAAGGTTATAGAAACTTGACAAATTATTATTTAGAAAGGCTGATGTAAATCCTTAAAATTTAATTTTTTTACCTATTGAAACCATGTGTTACATTTCTTACGATCACTTTGCAATAACTTTTTTATTCCCTCGAAAAATTAAGCAGCTTTGGTTGCTGGTTTCTAATCTAGTTCTTTTTAATTGTGTTGACACATTCTGGAAGAAATGTTGTTTTTTTACATAGCTTAAACATTACTTTCCGTCCCTTCATTTTCAATATTTGTTTGACTTCATTTTTGACATTTTCAGAACATATAATGAAAATGGTATACCTCTCATGATAAATTAATAAATTTTAAACAGCATTCTTGTTTCACTAATTAGTTGTAAGAGTACTTAATTTTTTTTTAATATTTCAGAAAACTTTAAACTTCATGAAAATTAAAACAAAACTTTTTGCTATCATTGTTGTATTTAAATTAACCGTGGATTATATATTAATTCGATTTTTAAATTTAGATTAAACAATTCAACATTTAGATGAAGTTAAAAATCACCGAACTGTTTGATAAATACTTATCTGGTCTATATATACATAGTTAATAGATACGTTATTTAAATCATCAATTTGGTAATTTTTCCGTTCATGTATTATCAGTTTACTTGAAATTCTAATTCCATGCTCTTAGTCACTATGATGAAATTACCAAATTTTACCTACCGCATTTATCAAATTTGATCAAACATAGTATCATTCTTATTGTTAATTTTACAAAAATCACAACCAAAGCACTTCAATAAAATTAACAAGTTTTTTGGTTTTCCCATAGAGCCAGAGACACGGTAAATTTTACCATATACAGGCAGTTTCAGGCATGCTTTATTTTCAGTGTATAATACCGATTATATTATTACCATATTTTTATTTCTTCTTCATTTCAAACACTTTAAAATAACATTCTTAACAAGTTCACATTCTCCCTAACTACACTTAACTATGCCTTTTAGTTACATTATTCGAAGTAATTGTAAAAGAGAATATGTATGTTTTCTTTCTCTTTTTTTCACTTCTGTAGGTACAGATACACGTGAATCTACAAAACCTGATAATATGCCACTTTCCGTAACATATGATAGCAATCAAGAGCCTGTGTATTATCCGTCCCCTTATGCCACAAGCGGTACTTCTGGTTATTGTAAAGATCAGTGTGCCAATTCCAATCACCAACAAAGCATGGGCACCTTTGGTAGTAACAGATGTGGTTTTACATATGACATACCATACGCTCAGAGAAGGGTAAAAATTGTTAGCCATTTTTTATTCTTTTGCATTCAGAAAGTTTTATTGCAGTTTTTATAAAAAATATCTTTTTTTTCATATTTCTCTACATAACTAATGAGTAAAAAAGTACTAATAAACCTGGAAATGTTAATTTTTAATCACTTTCATTAACCCTATGAAATAGTTTTGTCGTTGTTGTTTCTAATGACACTTAAACAAGCCAAGATCACCAGGCATTAGCTAATTAAAGGCCTGGTTTCTTAGGACAGGACGCCGTCAGCTGGAAATCAGCGCTAACCTCTGATTGGTCCATTTGTGAGTTTGATAGTGTACGTCATCGAACGCTCATCTTGAACTCGATGACGTATACTATCAAACTCACAAATGGACCAATCAGAGGTTAGCGCTGATTTCCAGCTGACGGCGTCCTGTCCTAAGAAACCAGGCCTTTAG